ATTTCATATTTAAACCAAGAATTACGATTTTAGTTATTTTGTTGTGATTGTATAATATTATTCGTGGGTACTTGAAATTTCTAAAGTAATCTACTATATATATCTATGATAGTATCAGGGTTTGTTGTTGGTGTATAACGCGTTATAAGTACCTAATGGATATTGTGATATGATTAATTTGGAATTCATTATAGGTCAATTTTTTGTTTAATACTATATACATGTATATAATATGTCTTATACATAGACTGACATACCGTCTCCACTCAGAATCGTTTTTCTTATACAATGATATTATATCGTTGAATTCAAATTTAATATCATCCATTATACAGTGACCCACTTGTAACCTACTGTACAGCAGAGCGACACCCACTTGCCCACCTTTTTAAATGTTATATTATTATATTATTAATATTACTTTTAAGTAGTAGATAAAATATATGGACAGCTCACGGTTGACAAAAGAATACCTAATGCCAATATTAATTAATAATCATTAGGAAAATACGTATCATCGAAACATCAATGGCGGAAATTCGGGATACGATGTGAAAGTGTGTGACTTTGTTAATCTTTCACGTAAACACTACTGAATGGATTTTAATGAAACATTACAATAATATAGCTTATTTATCAGAATACACATAGGCTACAAATCACCCCCCTAGGTCCTTAAAGCTACTATAATAATAATTAATGGTTGCCGTAAAAAAAAAAAAAAAAAAACAATTAACCAATCACGGATTTTGTTTTCTATTTAGTAAATTATAATTGTTTGCAAGTATAGCATTTTTAAAGTATAAACATTATAATAAATTATTATTTGGAAGTGTAAAAAAATCAAGTACTAACAATTATGCCACGAAAGCGTAAGTCTAATAATTGGTTGCCGTGAAATCAGTGTATTCATTTAATGCATTTAATTTGTGTGTATGCTGTGTTTTGCATCACAATTACGTAAATATTGAGCGTATTATACTCACATATAAGTTAAGTATATGGTACATAAAACAATCACGAATTTGTGGACAAGGAGGAAATATTGGTCGACAAACTCGGCATTCACAATTAGTCCAACCGTTTAGGAGGAGTTCAGTTACGTACATGGTATAACTTTGATACTTTAGAATTAAATTATATAAAATTAAGTACAAACTTCAAGGGTTAAAATGATAATATAGGTACTGCTGCGAATCAGAAATTTTATTCCGGTAACGGAAAAGTTAAGATAAGTTTTGAACACCATACACTGAATATTAAATAACGAATTGAACAAAGTTTGAGTCATATAGGGTTGATAAATTTAACGGATAACAAAGTGCAGGGGATCAGCTAGTATTTTTATATTATTATATTATTATAATTTTTCAATTTTTCAAAAAAAAAAAAAAACAGTTTTTTTCGTCAAAACAATTTTTTCCGAAATATTAAATGAAACCAAATTTTACCAATTTTTCCTTTTTTTTCGGAAATTTTGATACCTACTTTTGATCACCAAAAATTATCTATATTAATTACCTATATTTATATTATAATCGAATAAATATTTAACATTTAATTATATTGAATTAATTAAAATTATTATCAGGATAAACAATAATGATTTATTGTTCACTTTATAATTTAAGCCATGATTTTTACCTACCTATGGTTTTGTTAGTATGAGGGAATTAATATGATTAGTATAAAATATGTGTTTGAATGAAAACTTCAACAACCAATTGTTTTCAAACAATAATAAGTAATATCTTTAATACCTGTCTTATTGTACCTATAGAATAAGTACCTATAGGAAAATAGTGCAATGACATTGCATCGGATCAAGGTTTAAAAAAATTAAATGTTTTTATTAGTGCTATAACTTTAGATAATTTATTTACAATAATATTATTAGATGATATTACTATCTAAGGACTAAGATACTAAAATAAATACACTTACAGTGTAGTCGGTACACAGAAGCACATGTTAATTAATAATTACATATTAAGAAAAAATGCATACATGTAAACACTGTATTAGTTACGGAGTTACAACATGTAAATTAGTTATTAGTTAATAAAATTATTTACAATAATACAATAATACAATATTCTCAAGAACTTGAGGAATTTACCAATTTACGGAATTTTAAGTTAATTTACGTACATTTTGCCGATAAATTTAAATTGATAAATGTATATATTGTTGTAATGATTTTAATTGTAGTGTTAATGCCACCGCACTGTAGGTATAATACACGGTATATCTCACGGTGTCTGTTTTATCAGCTTACTTGGTTATTATGGTTTAAAATCAGTCGACGATAAATAGGTATACAGTTTAGATATCTAATTTATTAATTTTAATACATACAAAAGTAAAAGCATTTTTTTTTTACTTTCTGGATACGGTGAAGTACGGTGTTAAGTAGGTATCCACTACCCAACAGTGGCGCTGAACTTTTTTTTTAGGTGTGGCAATGAAGAATAACTTATATTCACCTACCCATATGATACTTGAACTAAGTCGTGGAGGTGACCTGCCAAACACAATAAATTTTATTTCTCAAAATATTTTCACAAGTTATAATCTTTACGGCATTATTTTTTAGCATTATTTAATATTTTAACACATCATAATTATTAGGTTCATCTCCAGAACAAGCCTTTTCAAAATTAAAACCAAGTTATTATCATCTTGAAATGATTCCTGGTCACTTATTTAGATATTAAGCTATTAGCTACATCCATTCAGTAATAATTAGAACTATTAAATTTTTTCTTAACCCATGTAAATATATGGATATTATTTTGTTAATGGTTAGCATAATATTATACAGCGTGATTCTTTTATCAAACAACACTCATTATTTCAAAAAGTGTACATTTTTTTGAAAATATTTTTTTACATAGTTTCATGTCGCTTATAAAACAACGTTTTTATTAAAAAATTATATTTTTAAATATTTTTTATCCTTATAATTTTTTAAGTTTTTTACTTTTTTGAATGACAACATAGGGTTTTAATTTATATTCTAAAGTAGAATATTTTTCTTAGTATTTTGATACATGAAAATCGAATTTGGGTTGAGTAGTTTATGAGTTATAAGTATTTAAAGTTTAGACGAGCGGAGTGGAGTAGTTCGGGGTTACCCCACGAAATGTTTGTCCACTTCACCACTCGTCTAAACTTTAATTACTTATAACTCATAAACTACTCGCCCCAAATTCAATTTTCATGTATCAAAATACTAAGAAAAATATTCTACTTTAGAATATAAAATTAAAACCTTAATATGTTGTCATTCAAAAAAGTAAAAAACTTAAAAAAATATAAGGATAAAAAATAATAAAAAATATAATTTTTTAACAAAAACGTTGTTTTATAAGCAACTTGAAACTATGTAAAAAAATATCTTCAAAAAAATTTACACTTTTTGAAATAATGAGTGTTGTTTGATAAAAGAATCACCCTGTATATAATACTGTACTATAGTAATATATTAAGTAAAAATATTAATAAATGCTTTAGTTTCTATAAATATTATAATAGTATAATGAAGGTAAATAAATGATAATATTACCTACAGTTATATTGCAGCTATTTAAGTAATTTATTTTACTAATAGTAAAACAATGTGTTGAACTAAAATTTGCTTAAAACTTTGCATTATAAAACTTCGTTGTATATATGAAATATAATAATTTAAGTAAAACTTATAAGTCACCTAGAATAATATTTTTAGGTAGTACCTATAATAGTTAGTTATTATATGACTATGTTATAATACACATATTATCATGGTATCATATTTGTGCCTATGATTTCGACTGCAAATCGTTACTACTAACAAGTGCCACACAACACTATAATATATGGATTACGGGTATTCGTAATATCATATAGGTTAGGTTAGAAACTTCCAGACGAAACGGGAGAGTGAAACTTTGACAAGAGTTTGCAATTCTGCCACTATACTCGTAGTTGTACGTATACACTAACAGCTGCTATAATATATGCCTAACACAATATTATAGTTTATAGTATTATATTATTTCGTATAATACATAATATATGAGGATTATATAAACTATTCACTTCAGAGTGCAGAGAAATAGCACACATAATAATATTGTGTAAAAAATAATAATATATAAAAACAAATCGCTTTTGCCGGTCAATGTCTGACTCGTACACCAAAAAAGAGCCTCATGTATACAATACTGCCGTAATTGCGTAATATTATATTGTTATATTATATGTGCACAAAGTTATGGGTTCTACCTTGATTGGTATTAAATTACCCACGATTTCGATTCAGCATTACATTATGAACGTTTTTTTTTACTTAGTCACGGATATTTCAATGCCAATAATATGCATACACTTTGTAGCAACAGAATACAGAATAGTAATAAATCATATTTAAAATTAAAGAATAAATAAGAGTATTCTCCATGATTTTCACAGAATGGTGTAAATATAATGTGTCTACATACTCTACACTCTAAAATGTTAACTGCAGGCAACTAATATTTCAATAATCTTACTATATATAGTCTATATAGTCTTACAACAATATTATTTACATTTTATGTCTATATTTTACATTTGTGAACACGAAAAATATTTCAGTATAACAGCAAGCGGTGCACTTGCAAATATTTCGTGTACCTACCTAACATGTCTTGAGGAATTATTTGAAAGCAATAAAACCTATATATTTCTATTTTCCAAGGACACTTTTACACTTATTGTACATCGAAATCCTATAATTTATTACAGGGCCGGCGCAAGCAATTTTTTATATGTAGGCAAAGATCAAAATTGCCGCCTCTTATTTTATTATAACTTACATAGATAAATGTCATATTATGTAGGAGCAAAAAAATTAAAAACTTTTTACACTTGTCAATTATTATATAATAAAAAAGAAATTACTAAATTAATAGTACATGGATTGTTTGTAAGGTATTACAATAGTTATTATGAAATACAATATTTAGTTATAATTTTTAAAAATGTATTTTTCTTGCTTTTGCTGACGCAAAATCTTTAACTAAATCGTCAATGTCAAGATCATTCGCAATTTGATTTTCAATTGAAATTGTTGCCAATCCAACTAAACGATCCTGTGAAATTTGTGATCTTAAGTAGTTCTTTACAATTTTTAATTTTGAAAAGCTTCTTTCAGCTGAAGCTGCAGTTACTGGTAATGTTAATAAAATTCTTAGAGCTACGTATACATTAGGAAATAATTCTATTAATTTGTTTTCACATATAAATTGTAAAATTGCTTTTGGATCATTTTCATTTTGCAAATGTTTTTGTAATGTATTTATTTCTTCACAAAGTTCGACAGAATTTATATCAGAATTTAAACCGTCATTTGAAGAAAGTGCTAGCTGAAGATCTTTACAGCACTTCATTAAATGTTCATAATTATTTACATTAGAAATATTATAAAGAAATGAAAATAATTTACTATGGTCTTCAAGTTGAATAAATCGGTCATTTATTGATTGGAGCATATTGTCTAATATTTGATGAAAAAAATTTATTTTGAAATTCTGTTTAGGATCTGTTATAGGAGTATCACGAGATTCGTAATCAAAATGAGTTTTTCTACGTCGAGTTCGAAATTGATTTAACGAAAAACTATCTTGTACACCAAGTTCATTTGCTAAGTAACTTGCTTGTGTAAGTATTTTTTCAAAATTTTCATTACTACGATATTTTTGTAAAAATATTTTGGTATTGTTTATCTGATTGATTGATTCGATAATATTTAATGATATAGATTGTAATAGTTTACTAGTGACATTAATTTCGCATAATAAATCATACCAAATTACTAAACTACATAAAAATTTGAAACTTATTAATTTTTCAGCTATACCTTTAGCTTCAGAACGACTTCGAACGCCAGTTACACTCGTAAGTGAAGTGTCTTCTGATATTTCTTCCAGTGCATCATAAATTTCAGCAGTTTGAAATCGAATTGGTCGAATAGCGTCTATTCTACTAGACCATCGAGTTGCACTTAATGGTTTTACAGTAAGATTTTTAACATATTTACGAAAAACATCCCATCTCTGTGTTGATGCTGAAAAAAATGTATACATTTCTTGTATAATATCAAAAAATAAAACTGCATCTAAGCAACAATTTGCTGAATCGTTCAAAACCAAATTTAAAGAATGTGCATTGCATGGCACGTAAAAAGCTCTTGAATTTAGATTTCGAATTCTAGCTTGAACACCACTTTTATATCCACGCATATTAGCCCCATTGTCGTATCCTTGGCCTCTCATGTCATCTAATGAAATATCTAATTCTCTCAGTTTTTGAAGAATAACTTCAGTCATATTTAAGCCAGTAGTATTGTATAATTCTATAAAACCGATAAAGTGTTCATTTATAGAAACGTGTTCTATTTTACTTGTGGTTTCGTTTTCAGTAGTTGAGACGAATCTAACTATGACAGTCATTTGTTCTGTATGATTTATATCTGGTGTACAGTCTAAAATGATTGAATAATATTTTGCATTTTTTAATGCAGTTATGATGCGAGATCTTATTTTATTCGTCAATAATTGAATTATTTCATTTTGGATGTCTTTTCCTAAGTAATGACAATGAATTTCTTGAGATGATATTCTTCTTATGTGTTCTTTCATTACTGGATCAAATTTACTTAAAAATTCAATAAATTTTAAGAAGTTACCATTATTGGAAGTATTAAGTTTATCTGATTTTCCCCGAAAAGCCAAATTTTGACTGCTAAGTGTTTTTATCAATTCTATAATTCGCTTAAGTACATTTTTCCAATGTTCTGTCTCAATTTTTAAATTAGCTTCATTGATATTATTGATAGTTTTTCCACGTTTACACCTTGTTTCTAATTCTTTCCAATTTTGATATGCCTTTTTATGAGAATTTGACGTCTCGTGTCTGTTCAATATATTTGATATATTTTTCCAATCATTATTACCATTGGTTGTAAGAGATACTACTCCAATATTAAACAATTTGCAGCAAAAACAAAACACAGAATCACTTGATTTAGAATAAATTATCCAAGAACGTTTAATACATTCACCATTAGGTAAACGTCGAAAATAGTGAAAAGATGAAAATGATCTACCACTAGTGTTAATAGGAAATGTTTCCATATTTATTTGACGAGGTCCACACTCTATTAAATAAAGTCTTAATTTATCATCGATAGAGGGCCATTTATTAGGGTCATCAAAATCAAGAGACTTAAAATTGGTGTACTTTTCATCATAATTACAAGATTTTTTATTTTCAATATTTTCTTCACTTATAATACTTATAGCAATCTCTTTCTTGTTTTCATTTTCAGAGTCAAAATCAGCTTTTCTGCTGCTTATATCATGTATATCTTTAATATTTAAATTGGCACTATTCTTTTCAGTTATATTAATCTCTTCTTTACTTTCATTGTCATGTTCTTTTTTTTTATTGTCAACTTCGCCCATACTTAGATCTTCAATATTTTTATTTCCACTATTTTCTTCACTGTCATCAGTATCATTATCATTAATAACATTTGCTTGACTATTTTGTTGACAAAATTTCAGTAAACTACCTTTTTGTTTAACTAAATCTTTCTCCCGTGCTAGTCTTTTCTTTAAATATTGCGAACCTGATAATCGTTTACGCTTTTTTATGTCATCAGCCATAATATCTGAATAAATAAGATAATAATTAATTAATATTATTTTATTTTTTAATTATTTAACATAAACTCCATACAACAACGGACAAGAAAAACTAATTATATAACAGTATTACATAGTTAATTAACCACTAGTTAACAAAAATTCTATTATTTGGTCTTTTTGCATTTTTAAAATAATTACAAATACAATAAATATCAGATAGAAGATGTTATGCCTGTAGTAAACGTGTTCTAATTTATTAAATAAATAAAAATACATTCAATTATGAAGAAGACTAAGAACGACGCGCGATACGGCAATATTATTTACTGTCGTGAACTCAGTTTCAATAGCGTCTATAATACGCAGCTTATTCTCCCTGGCCTCCTCCGGCCATCCGTCAAACCATAACCTAACCATTTTACATAATATTATGATTGAACTGTCGGGCGGCAGTTTCACTATAACGGCGACCGTATACTATTGAATAATTTACGCGCTATAGGTACCAATAATGATTAACAGTAAATTAAAAATATATTATATTTATATTACTTACCTATTGTGTAATGAAGTCTTGATAGATGTATATCGTATATGTCTTGATTTATAAAAAAATTATATTGTTGAGCTCAATAAAGAATGTACCTACACTAGTACACTACACTGTACAGTGAGAGTGAATGACACACAACAGTCTCCAATTGCAAAAACGCTAATAGAATTATTATCGATTAAATTGTAATGGCACAACATGCTTTGAGACGTTATCGCAATTCAGGGAAAAATTATCTGTATTATTTTTATTGAATATTGTTTTGGAGTTTTATCGATCTACACAATATGTTTGTATATTGTATTTTGAAATTTGTTAAAATCTAAAATAAACGTGAAAAATAAGATATTTGATTTTTTCTTATATGCCGCCTCTATATAGTTATAAATTTTGCCGCCGTAGGCTTGTGCCTACGTCGCCTACGCCTATAACCGGCCCTGATTTATTACCAACGTGGCATGCGAATGTTATTATAACACAATTGTATGGGAAGGTACCGTTTCAATATGATACACCGTATGCTCCTCCGGAATGCCAAACATACCACTACCACCACACAACATTGAGATAAACACAAAGGGTGGAAGTCCCACACGCTTTTGTCTGATTATATAATGTAACGACCTCGTTTTTATCGTTAGAATAATGCTCTTCCCGAACAGTATATTATCGTGAAAGATATTCGAAATATTATTGTTTTGCATAAAGATCTCACTGTGTAACTAGACGACAATACGGCGTCGGAGGGCAGTTTTTTTCATTATTTATATATATAAGACATACATACCGTCCCATGACACACAGTATATGGTCCTCTGGAATTTAACCCCCCACCACCCCAACCAGTACCACCACACATAAAAACTATCTTTCACCTCAATTGTAGTACCAAGGTTCGTCGGTATTAAAACGACAATTCACATCGCATTAAAAGTATTATTACTTATAACGTAGTTATGTAGTATTACAAACATATTAGAAAGACGTGCAACGTGAGTTCGACATCAAGGTAGTCGCGATAACCTATAAATACTTGTGAAAGTAATAAAATTAGAATAGTTATTAATCGAAACGCTGTTTTTTTTTCAACAATGTATAATAATATGTTTTATGTACGCCTACAATATTTTCAACACTATATCACTAACTAAGCGAAGGGGAGTTCGTCCCCACCATAACAATTTTTGATCTGAGTGAAGGTTTTCAACATATTATCTTATCTTATCCTTTAAGGTTTTAAGATGTATAATATTAATTCAACTTACAGTCTATAATAAAATATAATAACAATAAAAAATATCTAGACTTACAAATCGTCTCCTCTCAGAATCGTTTTTCGTATACAATGATTTGATATCAGTGAATTCAAATGTAATACAATCCATTATACAGTGAACCAATTGTAACCTACTGTAGAGCATAGCGACATCCACTTAAACGCTTTTTTTAATGTATATAATTACTCTCATTGTCAACAAAATACTTATGATCAACATATTATTTTACCGTTATACCTAAGTAAAAAAACTAATCACCACAATATAATAATTATTATCCATGGAATACGGATAACCATAACTTTTTAGATGAAGATAATAAGTAATTGTACTTAATTATAGTAACAACACCAAAAATTAAACATTCAAATTAAATTTATGAAACAATACTTATACTTTGTTACTTAAACTTATTTGCAATGTAGTCACATTAAAAAAAAATAAACTCAGTAAAATTGACTTAAGTTTGCCCAAATTATTGAGAAATACATTGCCTACATCATCCATGCTTTTATGTGTTACCTAATCATTTCGACCAAGTATTGCAAACAATGTATTACCTAGTTTATTTGAATTAATGTATAAATGTGCTCATAAATTTCTTTCATTGTATTATTATAACTTTGGCTTCTGAAAGTATCTTTAATAAAATAAATAAGTAAAAATATTTATTTATACTCAATTCATAGAACAAAAATGATATTTTTATTATTTTTTTACCGAGTAAATAAAAACATATTTTAACCGCATTCAAAATTTTAATAAAAAAAAAATTATCGTTAAAAACACTATACTCCGGCCCACAAGAGTCCATACGTAAACCACGCATTGATATAGTAATACGTGACGTCTGTTTTCTCCCACCATGATGTCATTCCCACTATTCGGCAACATGCAGATGCGCAGAGACGGACACGTTTGGACATATGGAATCTCGTAGGCCGGAGTATACGTGTAAATATCTCGATGAAAAGATAACCTAAGGTTAGAAAATGTGTGCTCAACTTTGATAACATATCATCCATATCGACTATCGTGACCACCTTATCGTGTAGTAATAATGACAATAACTTATTACTTTTATAGTAAAAAAGATTTCTATACCACACGCCATACGGTGAGACAATGTTACAGATAAGTAAATTGCCGTATCACCGAAACGGTCACGCACCGAAAAGTCCGCGCAGAAAAGTCCGATTCCCACAAAATTATTATGTTTATTTTTTTAACTGCTATTTTTTTAACTCAAAAAGGTAAGATAATATTGAAAAAAGGTGGGCAAGTGGGTGTCGCTCTGCTGTACAGTAGGTTACAAGTGGGTCACTGCATAATGGATGATATTAAATTTGAATTCAACGATATAATATCATTGTATAAGAAAAACGATTCTGAGCGGAGACGGTATGTCAGTCTATGTATAAGACATATTATATACATATCTATGGTATTAAACAAAAAATTGACCTATAATAAATTCCAAATTAATCATATCACAATATCCATTAGGTACTTATAAGCATTATACATCAACAAAAACCGTGATACTATCATAGATATATAATAGTACACTTTAGAAGTTTCAAGTACCCACGAATAATATTATTCAATCACAACAAAATAACTAAAATAGTTATTCTAGGTTTTTTAATATGTAATTTCGTCCAAATTTGAACTTAAAATGTCTGTAAAAAATAACTGTGAATATATTTTTTAGATTTTTTGGTTACAGTATGAACTATTTACGAGAACCTTTGTGTTGAATTTGCAATCCTTAGCTATAAAAACTGAACATTTTATAATTTATTAATTACAATGATTGATAATTTTCGAGATTTTGATAAATTTTGTCAAAATTTGATCTTTAAATCCTTATAAAAAAAAAATGTGCCTATGTATTTTTAATATTTTTCAACTGATATTGTAACAATATATCAGGAGCCTTGCATTAAATTTTTACACTTTTTGGCCCAACAGATAAAACTTTATTGATCTTTATAGAAAAAAAAATTGAAAGCTGTAAATGTCCATAAACAGCTCAAAAAGAGTCAAAATATTTTCAAAATTGTATGGTGTATAATAACCGCTAATATAAACATTCAGTGAAATTTTCATGTATCTAGAGTTATTCGTTTTTGAATTACAACAAAATAAGGAAATCGCTACATGAGAAATCGAGTGAATATCCAATGTTGTAAAAATTTGAATTTCAAACGCTTATAAAAATTAAATTTGATTTTCCGGTAGAGATTTTTTTATTGATATAGGTAGACAAACTTATGAGTAATCTTGTATTACATTTTCAAATCTTAGATTTAAAAAGAAAAATTTTTTCGAATTCTTAACTCAAAATAATTCGCTAATTTTCGTGATTTTTCCATATTTTTACAATTTTTGAACTTTAAATGCTTATAAAAAAAAATTGTGACTAAGGATTTTTAATATTTTTCATCTGCCTTTGAAACAATATATTAGGAGCCTTCTATTAAATTTTCAAGCTTTCGCAACCAACAAATAAAATTTAATTGATATTTTTAGAAAAAAACTAAAAAAAGATGGAAAATGAAAATGTCCCTAAACAGTTCAAAATAAATCAAAATATTTTGAAAACGTTATCGTGTATATAAAATGCAAATATAAACAACCAGTGAAAATTTCATGTATATACATTCATTTCTTTTAGAGTTACACCAAAAACCAAAATCGATTTTTTGGAAAACCGATTTTGCGTAAAAATTCCCGTTTTTCCTTAATTTTTATGTTGTTTTTCGCGGCGCTTGTGAAAACTACTGGGAAATTTTTACTTTTCCCCCAAAGTACCAACTAGATTCCTATCAGAAAAGCTACTGTTGAAGAACATCCAAGCACTTTTACTGTCCTAAAACGTGATGACAGACACAAAAATAAAATATAAAAAAATATAAAAAAAAACACACATCATTGTAAAAACAATACATTCATCGCTCCGCTCAGAATCTAAAATGTATGTTAAATTAAAAATTAAAAGTTGCTTAATTTTTTTTTAACTTGTAAAAGTAACAAGTTGATTAGAAAATAAAAATATCTTAACTTAGATAAAATCAGTTAAGTACTTTTTTTTTCATATTATTTATACCTTACTTTTTTGAAAGCTAACAATAAATTAAAATAAAGTGGTTCCATAAACTAATTTAAGAAATTAAATTTATTTC